TTAATAGCCAACCCCTCCTTAAGAATATCGATCGGGAGAAATCTCATGTTGTCCACTATCACTAACGACAGTCGTGTGAATTTCAAATTAGTCCAAAGGTTCATTGCCAAGAAGTTCTTGTCGACTAAGACAAGTGGATTTTGCTCAGCATCTTTGGTCCGTCCTTTTCTCTCAAAGAAGCTTATCTTCCCCGTCTCTTGCAGAATATTAATAAACGCGTCGTTCGTCAAACAATCAACCATTCGCCGTTTTCTGTCTTGTGAACTTTCTTGAAGGACAGGAAGGTCCTTTTCAGAGAAGAGTGTCCGTCCGTTTAAAGCAATGGACTCGACTAGAAAGATCTGGGAAGACGTTGTACCTTTCTTCAATAACCGGTGGAGGGTGACGGTCATCCCCATCGTCTTCGCTACACCTATGAGAAACGATTGCTGCGCCGCATCCCTGTTTCGACTCTCACGCTTCGCCTCGAGTGCTTCTATACTTTTTTGTTGTTGAGGATTTGTTGTGCGGATGGTATATACATTCTTCGCCTCCTCTACCAAAGGACGGCGGATAAAGACACTTCTATGGAGAGACATGTTTCTTGATTTTGAAGTTTAACACTCCCTAAAAAGTGGTAATCTTCTCGTAATGATTCTCTATGAGGCTGTTTGTAATAAATATTAATTCTTTTATAATAAATTAATGGATTTGATTAAAACATAAAACAATAAATAAAGAAAAAGTTTGAGGCTTGACTGTATTCAAAATAGAACGAAAAAGTCAAGACTCGGTTTTGAAGTTTGGTCGAAACTAGAAAAAAGATTGCAAATAAAGAATGTCACTTGAATATAATTGATATATTATTTAAACATCAGATTAAATCACAATATGTATTATCACAATCAAGATCGGTGTGGATTATAATAATCCATCTCTTTATTATTAAAATTAATTGTAATGAGTGATATAATCTGGAGATTGTGTCGTTGAAAAATACTCAAAAAAATAACAACTAAAAACTACCAGAAAATAGTTGTACACTTGTGATTTTAGTATTAAACAAACCAAAAAATCGGGAATATTTATAATAATAATAATAACCAAAAAAATTGGGTTTTGAAAAAATAAAACCCCGAAATAAATTATACAGAAAAATACTATAAAACTACGTGTAAAGTCTTTAAATATGAGTTATTTTTTTTTCAATTGTTTTTTTATCACTATTATTAATGATATATTAATAGTAATTGATTAATTATAAAGTGTAAAAAAATAGTTTGCTTATCATAAATATAGAAAATGTCTTTATAATAGAATTGAAGTCAAAAGAAATCTGTTAGCTTTCACTTGGTCTTCATTGAGTAGAGCACTCAAGTTATGAGAAATTGGATTCTCGCGACAAAGCATCTGGGACTATTTAATCAAACAAAAAGGTAAATATATATTATTAATGGGGAAAACTGAATCATTGACAACAACAAGTCTATCAGAAAAAGATTTTTTAATTGGAGCTAAAAAGAAAAGTAGAGTCTGGTCCTTTTTCACTAAATTTTCAGATAACCTTCTCTTAACATGTCTTAACATGCCAACCATAAAAATACCAGGACCAGTGGTATACAATGCTCATTAATTATATTGTTATTATTTTTGAATTATATTTGATTCTATTTGTTTTAACATTAATTTGGCAATTCGTTAATAATTTTCATAAACTCGATTTGACTAAATTCATGTTTTTGAATTGAATTTTTTAAATAAAATTGTAAGTGAGACAAAAAAGTTTTATCAAACCACACCAAAAATAACAAAGAAATTCATATATTCAGTGTGTTTTCCATTTGACAGTCAAAGCAAAATTTTAAGAAGTCGTATCTATCATCAAAAAATTCAAACCCAAAAATCTTGGTTGGATCTGATGTGGTAGAGTTGCACCTACGTTTTTGTTGTTTCTCTTGCACATTTTTTGGTGATGGTGTAGCGGATGATGCAGAAGGGGCATTTAATTTTTCTTTTTCTTGCTTTGAGATATAAATAAGTTTGTTGATATGATAACTTCTTTGTTCGGATGAAGGACGGATGTTGATATGTGGTGTACTCATTGACTTTTTAGATACTTGTGTTACCAAATATATTAAATAATATTTTCAATATCTCTAACATTTCCAAACGACTTATCAAAACTAACTTTAAGACTTTGAACTTATTTATTTTTATGTCGATTTTTTTAACAATAAGGTATAAAATAGTTTTTTATAGACATATAACAACGGTATCCATTTTTTGTAATGGTATTGCTTCTGAATTTTTGCCGGCAGTTCTTATCTAATTCAACAAAATTATTGAAGAAGTCTATTGTATTTCTAAATGTCTTTTATTTAAAACGAATTGATTATTTTGATGTGATACATTTATATTTTTAGAGACTATTCAACGTCTTTTGAAATGGAAGTTATAAACATGATGAAAAAATAAAACCTATTGGTTGTTTGTTATACAATATTGATATATAACACAAAACTGAATCAATGCAGTACAACACTTATTACTAACTTTGTCAATCCCTAAACATTCTTTTAAATATCAACCAATTGAAAACCGTCATAATGGAAGTTTAGTAAAAATGCTTTTTACAATTCAAAATTCAGTATTGACAAGTAAATATGAAAACTATAATATATTAGTTACAAGTGAAAGCTCTGTATATGTTGTAAAAAATATAAAATATTTTTAGTAATATTGATACTTGTTGTGTTTAAAATAGTGTAAAAAATGAAATTCTAATTTCCTCATTAGAAAACAACTTTAAATGACTATTAATGACCAATCGAATACTTTTAACAATCACTAAGCGTGGAAAGAAAAACACCTTTGTTTAGATAAAGTTGGTCTTGTTTTTTATAGTTAATTTTATTCTAATAAAAAATCATTTTTATTTAACTATATAATCAATTAATATTATTTATTAATATTAATTTAAATTAATATAAAACAGTAAGTTGTTCTGAAAATAATAAATGAATTGTTTACATTATTATTTATATTTATCTTTTTTTGAATAATAATAGAATTATAAAAAAGTAATATCAAACTATTAATCTATTTATTTTTAATCTACAATAGTAAAAATACAACTATACCATTATTCTAAAAGAATCAAACTATAAGTGAATAAATAAAACAACTATAGCAATAACATTCAGAAATGGCTTTAACTCAATAATTGAATATTAGAACTCACAATGAGCGATTCTTTAATCACATATCCCCCAAAGAACACAAAGTGGAACAACGTTGCGTTTTCGATTTCTTTTTATGTGTGCATAGCAATTTCCTTTAGTGTTAGCTGTTACTGCATTTTCTCTTCCACTCCCGACTACTCCATTGTTTGTTATGTCATTTCAAATGCTTTAAATATTCGACGTAGTGAACTTCATATATTTATATGTAGATTAAAACACACATAACAACACTTCCTGGAATTCCAATGGTCAAAGTGATTCCTCTGGTTGTCGTGTGTGCGTTTGTCTTTTCACTTCTCTTCATCTATCTCATCAAAGTGATGACTCGACTCTTCATTATATTATTTGGTGTTGTCTTCCCCGTCATTTTCAGTGTCATTTTAATAGTACTTTCAATTTTGTCATTCTCACGGGGTATATGGACGTTTGTAACGTTATTAGTGTGTGGGGTATCACTCTTGATATCACCGTTAATCATTTTTGTGTCGCGAAAGAAGTTGCCGATTACAATAGACATCGTCCACTTGTCGTCAACAGCACTCATACAAACAAAACACATTCTCTTTGTTTTGTGCCCTCTTTTACTCATTGTCACAACAACGGTTTTACTCTTTGTTCCAGGCTCAGTGGTCCTCAATTACCTCTCCGGAACAACAAAGAATGATCAATACGTCCCACCCAAAGCTTTTATACCCATTTTACTCCTCCAAGCATTTTCATTGTTTTGGGTTTTGAACACAGTGAGTGGTGTTTCTGTCGTGATCACGTCTTCAGTCATCTCGCACAAGTACTTGAATACAAAAGATGTTGGAGACTCCTTCATGGAGTCGGTATATAATGCGCTCACCAAGAAATTTGGATCTATTGCGTTTGGTTCTTTAATATTATCAGTTGTGCAGTTCATTCAGTTTGTAGTCAATTACTTGGATGGCGACGATGACGACCCAAGTGTCGCACAAAGGATCCTAAAGTGTATATTCCAGTATTTACTCAGCTTACTAGAGACCATTGTGCGGTATGTCAATAAAATGGCGTACGTCATTGTTGGTATGCACGGAACGCCCTTTTTAGAAAGTGCACATGTAGCCGTTGATTTAGTCAAGAACAATTTAGTCACTGCCATTCTTCAAGACACAGTGATTGGGTCGATCTGCTTTGGTGTTATTTTAGTTGGAGGAATTATGTGTGGATCAATTGGTGGAGTATTTGTGTATGTCTTTGGGTATGGGAAAGTGGTGTCATATATTACTTTTATAGTATCTTTTATCATTTCGATATTTGTTGTAAGTTATTTCTTTGCACTTTTACAGGCAAGTACGGATACCATTCTCTTGTGTTATGCGGAAGATTTAGTCTTGTTCAATGGAGTTCATTGTGAGAAGTTGAATGCAATAGTTTCTCATTATGATAAATATGAACCATTTGAAGCTATTAATACCGAACAAAACGACAGTCAAGTTGTTCCTCAAGAACATCACAACGAACAAAATTTTTGAAGAACATTTTAATTCAGTCAGTTAATTCTTTTAGTATGAAATAGCTTTTTTATTAGTAATAACTCATTTATTAATTAATGTTATATTATAATTAAAAAAAAGTAATACGAAACTAAAAATCATACTATTAATGATGCTCGTCTTTTTACTTACTTTAGTCGCATCACAAATGTTTCAACAATATGAAGGAGGCACTCCAGCGACGCCTGAAGAACGTGTCGAAATAATCAAACAAGCAGCGACTTCGATATTTCAGACGTATCCGAAGGAAGAGGAAGTATTCAAATTTTTGGAAGTGAAAAAACAGAACATGACACGTGACTATTTGGTCGCTGCGAAAGAACGTCTCGTAAATTACACAGCGATCGATTTGGATGTCGTTACGAAGAAAATGGGAAGCAAAGGATGCCCCAATGGACTCAGTCAAAAAACACGAAATAAACTTGCTGGTATCAAGCACGCAATTCTCAGCAAATCAAAGAAGAAACTTGACCCGAAAAAGACCAAAGTTACTATTGACAAGAAGACTGGCGAGCTCAAAGTAAAAGGTGGCTCTGATGTGCTCCTCAGAAACGCAAATAGCAAAATCGACGAGCTTGAAATCAAAATCAACAACATCGAACAAATCAAGACGATGGCGAAAGTGAAGTTCTTAGACTCCAGACTCACTGCTAACCTCTTTAGAAGAAGGTCTGAAGATAGATACTTCAAGGGACAAGACGAGGATAAGAGTGATCTTGAAAGAGAACTGAGCGGTGTTATTGCGAAGCTTGATGTCGAGGGTGTAGTGGAAGCTTTTAAATCCGCTGCCCAAGGTATTGAAATTATGGTGAAGGAACAGAACACAACGACGTGTAAAGCAATCGATGAATATCATCAGAGTTATCGAAAGAGCATCGAGAAGAAAAGTTTCAAACGCTGTTGAAACACAAATTTTTGTGATACAAATGTTTTTCAATGTTCATTGCTGTTACGAGTTGGATTTAGTTTTTTAATAAAAATATTAGTTTTAAAATGGTAATAGTAATTGGTTTCTAATTTAAATTGGTAATTATTATAATTCACAGATTAGTTTTTAAATTATAATATTTTTTATGGTTTTTAATAAAATATAACATATTTTTATTATATTGTTAGAATAAAAAAAGAATTGAAGAAAAAGTAGTGTATTTCTATCTTTAAATTGATAATAATAAAAATTGAGGATTATTTATTTGACAAATACGTATTTGTTTTTCATATGTATTTTTGTTTAAATTATATATAGTTTTTTATACTATTTTATGTTGTAATTTGTTTTTATATTAATCAAATAAAACTTTTGACTATCATTAGCGATAATAGTGCCAAACAAGTATTAGTTTAATATACTAAAAATATGGATTTTGTTTAAGATTGTTCTAAGAATAAAAGCATATTTTGAAAAATAATAAAATTACTGTGGTGAAAAATTGCCTTGTTTTCCCGAAAATATCCATTTGATTGTCGTGGAATAATTGCAGAAACTGAATAAATTTATAAATAGATTATTTATTTTTGTAAATAGAAATTTCAATATTTTATGTTTTTAAATGTCGAATGTTTTGGCACATTTGTATTGTAAATACAATTGGTAATCAAAAAGATAAAATGTCTTTTTTCAAAATGGTTTATTACCATAAAAAACGACACAAAGAAATTATGTTAAAGAAAAAATAAAGTATTTATAAAATCCAATAAAATTCAAACGAATTATATTTCTATTTGAGAAAATTTCCCGTTATAAAACATAAAAATATTGCAATACTACTTCATACTTTTTTGGACAATTATTTCATTTTAAATATAGTTCGGAAAAATAGTAAACAATTGATCATTTGAAAAGGCAATGCTTACTCTCTATTATATTATTGTTTAATTGCTCATTTTTAGCATAAATAATTACTCAAACAAGTCAGATATGGTGAAATGGGCAACAATTTGTCTCCAAATAATGATAGTTTTTTTGAATAACATCAAGCGATAATAACAAATCTAAAATTTCGTTGTTTGAATTTTAAACAAAAAGGAGCTGGCGTGAATAATAAAACAAATAAGATGTTCTTAAAAGTATTTAATTCAATAAAACCCCATTAATTATTTAAATGCCCGATTTTTTGCAAATTTTTTAATAAACAAAGAGGATTTGTTCAAAAAACGCATAATTTCTAAAATTAAAAAATCGTTGGCATTACAGAATTCCATAAAACCAACTCAAGAACACAACCAAATTACTTCATTTGTCCTTCATGCTTCACTTCACACAATTTAAAACATAACCATGTTATATTTCTTCTTTCTTATTTGGTCATTTTACCGGAACACACAACATTATTATAAGAAGCAGCCACTACTTTTAACAACCAACTATTAATTATTACGAAATTTGAATAATACAAAAGCGTGATTTGCAAAAGTTAGTCTTAATTTTCATAGAAAAATGGCAAATTGAAGAATAAACTCCGTTCTTGTGGCAACCAAATAACTCCCAAATCCCAAATTCAACTGTTCTATTTTAATTTAATTTTAAAAACGTTTTCGAAAAACTGACAACCCCCCTCATTTCTTATACTAAACTGCCAACGTAATCGATGTTTCCCTCAAAGACGGCACGACAGCAAAAACAAGAGCGGTGGGACGATGGACTCCCGCCAGTGCCTTTCTATTCAGATGACTTGGTAAACATCTCGCCAACGTCCCCAATTCAAAGTTTCAAGCAAAACCTCAACCTGAGTCCCGTCCCCCAAATAGAAGTTCTTTGTGAACCAGAGGTCGATGACTTGTCGCCAAAAAGTCCACAAAAAGTTGGGTTAAAACATTCTGTCACGTTGAACAAGTCGAGAGATGTCCGGGCACTTCAAACAGCACAAGAATGTATTTGCATCGCATTACTTAATAAATATTGTTCGTTCTCTTTTAAACAACCAGCAAAGAAAAGCACTGTAGCTCCTCAATTCTTGAGGATTTGCAAAGTCACTTTTTCAGTGGGAGACGAGGTGGATTTTGAAGACATTGTCAAAAAGAGGTGTCTCCGCGTTTTACAGGATGATATTATTGCAGGAATCCCTTCAAAAACGGCACAAAGGCGGTTTGAAACTAACAAGAAAACAGAGATGATCCACCTTCTCATCGATATGTTAAGGGAGTTCGGCTATTTTTTCCAAACACGTATGACTGTTGGGAAAAGCGGGACGGTGAAGGCAGAGAATATCATTGAGATTTGGAAGAGCGGAATTAAAATGTTTGGGTGTAAAGACATTGAGGAAAAGGGTGTTAAGGTGTCAAAGTACCTTGCGGATCAGGGAAAGAACGAGAAAGAATTTATCATTAAAAAGAATAACCAGAGCATTCAAAAGGCTATTGTGTAAAGTTTCATTGCATTGTTTGTATTATTATGGTTGCGATAAAACCTGCGACAAATTTGTCAAAAGTTAAAAACAAAATGACAACAATAATTTAATTTAGTTTTGAAAACATCTAATACTTATAACCTCTAAATCTATTGTGAAATAATATAATGTAAACAAAAGAAAATTGGATTGTTATGTACTTGATATATAACAATAATATTTTTATTATCTTGTTCAAACTAGATGGAATCTAATTGTCATTATGAATTTTATAAATACAATTAAGATTAATTTAAAAACAATTATTTTTATAAACTATAATTAAATACCTATTTAATTTATTATCAACTAATAATATGAAACAAATTCAAAATATATAATATTTAAAACTAGTAATACTAATAATAAAAGTAAGAATCAGTTTTTTATCTGTTTTATAAGAAACAAGGGTGTTTTTAAAAACAATTCTATTATAACCCACTTTTTTGTTTACTGTATTTGAAAATTATTTGAATAATAGATATAAAAGATAATTACTTCTCTGTTATAATTAGTGCAAATTTAGAGAGACCAGAGTACTTAAAAAGTACGGAAGAAGAAAGAGTTCTTTTCAAAAGAGAATATAAAAAGATCTCTTAACACAATGGACCAAAAGATGTGTCTCGAGTCACAAGTGGTAATGGTATCAACTGAAGAACACCTTCTATCTATTATGAACAAATCAAGTAAAGTTGTTCTCGACTTTTTCGCGTTTTGGTCTAATCCCATAAACACAGTAGAGCGAATTCAAAATATTGCTAATACACATACAGACATTCAGTTCATTCTTATCAATGCAGAAGAAAGTTTCGATTTACTTCAACACTATGTAGTCTCAGACCTCCCAACTCTAATATTCTTTGTGAATGGCGTGGAGGAAGCGAGGGTCTGCGAACCTCCCGACGAAGCTATCAACAAGTTGCTCAGCCATTGAGCTTCATTTCATAATTTATTTCTGTTTTTAGACACTAATTCAAATGGTAACGTTTATAGTTTTTATAATATTAATTTAAAAACTATACAATAATTGCTTCTTCAATTTCAATAAAAATTTCAACCCAATAAATTCTTACAGTTTCGTCTTTTCATATCGATTTCAAAATAATTTCATTCAAAAAAACATAAAATATAACGGGAAATTATGATAATTAATTATAACAAGTTTCATCGAAATAAATGTTCTTGTAAAACCGTTTATTGATGAAAAAAAAGAAAAACTTTTCATATCGACTCATTTCGAAGAAAAAAAATAATTCAAACCGGGTTTGTGAAAAACATACATTTTAAAAATAGTAATAATGTTTTATTGACTTTAGTTTTTTATAATTTTTATAATAGGTAAATAAACTATTAATTTAATCATATTTTCTAAAATAATTTAATCGTATTATTAAATAATTAATTATTGTTTATAATTAAATATTTAATATATAATATTACTAATATAATTTAATATCAATTTAAAATTTATTTAATAATTTTTATTATTGATTTACTAAATATATAACAGATAAAAATTATAAAGAAAAAATTAAAAAAATATATCTAGTACATTTATTATAATATATTATATCATTATAAATATATAAATGGTTTGTTTTAGAAATTAATATAATCATACTTAACTATTAAAAATCTTAAATTAAACTAAATAAAAATACAAATGTTAAAACAGTTTAATAACTTAAATTGATTCGAATTGTTTAACTCTAGTATATTCATAATTAAAGTTATCAAAACTTTTCAAAACGATACAAATAAAAAAATTCCACCAATTAAAATAGAATTCGAAATTATCGAAAAGTTAGATAATGTTATATTTTATATTTTGGGTTGTTTACCAAATAAAATGTATTAAAAACATTAATAATAAATAATTATATTAACAATACATATTATTACAACAACAATCCATATGAAAAGTAATTTATTGTTTGTTCTTTACGATAACTAAATCACCACGTCAGACTCCGAATATATAAATTCCACACAATCAAAACTTTAATGAACATTGTTATTTTACTGATAGCATTGAGCTCTGCTTACGACGCCAACTTATACTACAAGATTGAAAAGAAAGATGCTGATGGTATCTTCGTCTTGTACCGTCCTTATGTTTTAGGCCAATGTGTGAAAGAAGTTCAAGGCTCTAAAATGTTGAACTTAGTTCAAGGGGATAATGTGTTTACTGTATACACTGATTCATCTTGTACTACAAAGAAAGAAGACATTGTTGACAACACAAATTGGCAAAATGGGAACGATTTCAAGAGAGTAGCATACCGAACAGATGCTATCACAAGTTGCCCAAATGGAGCAGATATGGACGGACTTTATGATACTGGAAACTGTTATAAAGAAGCTGTTGGTGATTATAGAAGAGGAGTTGTTATTGAAGAGAGTGGAAAAGGATATTATGTAATAAGAAAGTTTAAAGAGGCGTCATGTACAAGCACCGATTTTAGTAACGTCGATGGCACAAAATTTGAATGTGACAAATGCAAAGACGGACAATATACAAAATGTTTAGACCAACTTAGACCTTCTGAAGGTGCCACATGTTTTGCTATTTTGATGGTTTTTGCATTAACTCTTTTCTTTTAAAATGTCTAACTAACTTCTTTTTTATTTACTTTTGCATTGTTTGATATAAATTGATGTTTTATTGATTTAATTTTAATTATTATGAATTAGACGTTTTAATTGTTTTAATTGTTTTAATATAATAAAAATAATTAGAATTGAACATAAAAATATATTATATTATATTATATTATATTATATTATATTATATTATATTATATTATATTATATTATATTATATTATATTATATTATATTATATTATATTATATTATATTATATTATATTATATTAAATAAAAAAAATAAAAACATACTAATATATTATAATAAATAGAACTAATAAAAAACAAATAAGACATATAGTAAAATTAATTAAAAAATGCAATAGAATACCAAAGATATGGTGCAAGAATAGAAAAGAGGGTTTTAAAGAATTTGAAAAAAAACAAAAGGAGATGACACTTGAGGAGACATCGACTTGGATTGATCAAATGTTTGACTTAGTTCCACTCAACAATTATGTGACTGAGATAGAAGACAGCAAATATGAAGCGCAGTATTTTGAGAAAGAACGAACTGAATTAATAGTAACTCCGAGTGAAATAGAGGCGAGGCGTTATTCCCTTGAAGGGCCAATAACTATATCGAGTTACAACAAATTACTATTGGATATGAAAACGGATCAAATTGAGCAAATCCAGCCGATTAATGAAAATGAGATAGATCCAACTATGTTTAAGAATCCACGTGAAGCTCTTGTTAAGAGACTTCATGACAAAATCGAAGAGACAAGAACAAATAAAGTGCGTCCCATCACTTCTATGCACGGAAAGACTTACGACCTCCCACAAACAAAAATACACGAAAAACGCACAAAAAAGGACAAAACAGAAAACACCGACAACTCCCAACACCACAAGACATCGACACAAAAAGGAAAGTTCACAAAAAAAGGAAAACAAAACACACCCGAAAAATTCGAACGACCATCAATGACCAGCCCTGAACTCAAAGACAACTTGGACTTCGGAACGGTTTCCTTTGTGTCTGGAAAGTCCGTCCCTAAGTATTTGAACAGAAAAAAGAGACATGACTGATTGATTTTTTGCTTACTTCGTCATGTTTCTTTTGTTTTCTCTTCTTTTGTTTTAATTGATATTATTACCAGTAGTATTAAGTTATTTACTATAAACTTCTAATTTATATATTCTGTTGTTATTTATTCTATATCTTTTCTATTATTTTTATTATATTTTAGAATTATATAAGTATGGTTTTATTATTATTATTTCTAGTATAATAGTATTTAACTCTATTTAGGTAGTAACATAGTATTAATGGATTTTTAACAAAATATTGTAAAAATTTGTACAGTATTATAATTAATTATTACTAATAATACATAAAAAAATGAAAAAAAGACAATAACTGTATTATTTATAATAGTAATATTATAAATAAATATTAATAATACTATTTATTAATATTTATTAATAAATAGTAATATTTTCAGTGAGGAAAAAAGAACACTCAAAAAAAAACAAAACGAAAAAATACCAAAATAGTACAAAATGGACGACACGAGCGACTTGCTCGAATTGAAAAAGTGTTATTCCCAACTCACAAAAGCGACTCGTTCGTTTTGTCTTCCTGTTATTGAGTCATTACTTACTAAAACGCGCCGTAATGGTTTAGTTTACTATTTCTCACTTTTATTAGGGACGTCATACACACAACAAACTTTAGAGAAATATGATGTTCTTTCCGACTTGATTACAAAAGAATGTTATTCCCCGATGTTTGAGGGAGTTTTCCTGGAAGCTCTTTCTAAAGTAACTAACGGCCTTTGCGACTTCTCAAAACTTAACTTGGATCACTCTGTCAGAACGTTTTTGCAACACATTTTGGCAATGCATCACGGGGAGTTCCTCTCAATCCCAATTGATCTCAATTATGTGCCTTCGGGGTATTTACTTCAAAACTACTTTGAGGACCCAAACTACCAGGTGCCCATCACAAAGGTGACACACCGTGACGGGTTCCTTGCACTCAGGTGGACTGACCCGATGGAAATGACACTCGACAAAATTCCAATAACATTTCCAATAACAAAATTCGTCGAGGAGCAAAAACAAAATAAAAAACAAAAATTTGACAATAATGAGATGGTGAGGAATGTTATTGTGACGACGGAAGAGTGTGTAAACAAATTGCACGAAATCGCGCAACTCGGTCCAAATATCGAAAGTGACTTGTTTAAGAATGTAGAGTGGGAACTAGTATTCGAAAGAACGTGTACGACTGTGAGCTTCGAAGATTTGGACGTATTGGCGCCGTTGTTGTTGAGATCGATTTTTGGTGGAAAGAGAATCAAAGTGATCAAGTCGCCGAAAAAAAAAACAAAAAATTTGGATGGGATTCAATTTTTCCAAAATTCCGAAAATTTTGGAAATCAAAAATATCTCCAGAAAATCTCGTTCTCTCTTTTCGACTCATTTTTGAGATTTGTTTTGGCGGAACGAAAAAACTCAAAATCGTTGCTCTTCTTATTCCAAAGTTATTTCTCTGATCCTCGCGAGAAAGAGCTGAAGAACCTTTCCCATATTATTCTTTCCGAAGCGTTTTGTACGTTTTTTGCTTCGCGTGAAGTCTATGTCAAAGACGAGCAACGGCGAAACGATCTCCTTTGTTGTGTTTGTCAGAAGTTCCCGTCATTCTGTGCCGGGGCGCTTTCGATAGAAAAGAAAATACTGAAACAACTTTTGCACGAAACTACAATAGCAGAAGAGTTTTTCGCCATTTATCAAGATTTTGAACAAAACGAAAAACTCAAAATCTGCAACCAACTGGAATTTGACTTTTATCAAGATCTCGAGATGAAAACGAAAATTATAGAGAGAACGACAACTGAGTTTTTGACACAACTTCCGACTGGAACTTTTGTAGTTGAGATTTGTTGCAACAAAGGAATTGAAGTTATGAAAAGTGTTTTAAATCACGAAGAAAATTACGAAGCGATTTGCCAATTTCTAGAAAACTTCGAGAAGAAGTGCCGGAACGAGAATGGGACAAAACTGTCTGAACAAATCATCCAGGAACTTAAAAATGAGAAACACGAGATTGAGATTTTGAGGAGTGGCGGAACGGATGAACATAAAAGCGACAAATGCCATGGGAAAAGAGTGGGGAAAAGTCTCAGAGAGGAGGAGAGCGAGTTTGAGGAAGTGTTGTGTGGTCACGTCACCCCTACAGAATTTGTTGAAAAGATCAAACTTGAGCAAAAAAGCGACAACGAAAAGGACAAAGAAAAGGCATATTGGAAAATTTTGAAGATTGTTGAAGCAGTGACGACAGACAACCACTCACACAACACAATATTTGGCGATTTGGTTGGACTTATTTTGACAGAGAAAATGGTTAGAGGTGTTGTATTTGTTCATGTCATTAAGAGCGTCATTGCTTTATTAAGCGACGTTACAAATCAAGCGATTTGCTTCAAAGTCATCGAGGCGTTGATGCAGAACAAATTACTTACACCGTCGATGTGTAGGGCAATTAAGGCGCATTGCATGAACTTCCCTGATAATGTGGTGTTGAATGAGGTTTGGAGAATTTCACTGCTGCCAAGCGTTGCAGACATGGACCATTTGAAGTATGTTGTCTCTGAGGACTTTTTCGGTTTGGCGAGAAGAACAGAAATTACGGAGTATCTTTTGAGTCTTTCCAATACTTGCGCACAAAGCAATTTAAAGGAGAATTGTTGCTTAGGTTCGCGGGTGTCTAAAATTCCGGTTGACTTGAAGGAAGTTGTTGCTTTTCTCTTTTGTGTGCGACGCGGGACAAACGACCAGGAGAAAGTTTTTCCATTTGTCAATGAACACAAACAGATCATCTTTTGCAAGAAGTGCCTCGAGCAAATTAGGATGAACACTGTTGATGGAATTGAGTTGGCCGGTGGCGTTGGGAGTTGGCTTGGTACATTGACGCTTCACCAGAACAAACCAGTTCGAATGAACGTGTTTCCAGTGATCAACTTTGTGAATGAGAAAATGAAGAGAGGGTTGTGGGAAGGTGTGTGTGTGTTTTTGGTGAGCTTTTTGAGGAGAATGAAGAGTTCTATTTTTAATGTGCACAACCCCTGGATACACCGAATGGTTGAAATTGTCGAGGACATCAAAGAGAACGAGGAGGAATGGGCGGAAGAAGAAATGGTTTGTTCAAACATGTTCGAATTTGTCGTGTTTGAAGAAAAAAGTGGGACGAGAATACACTCTTCCACCCGCGCGTTCAAGGAACTCCTCGATGAAAACTTTTTGACTGAATTGTATGATTTTCAATGAACAAAAATGAGTATTCAATAAACGATTTGTTTTTATTGTTCTTTGTGCATGTGTGTTGGTTTGATAAAGTGGTTAAGGAGGTTCTCAAATAGTTTTGTAGTGTTTCCAGTTTCTTCTTTACAACATTTCACAATTGTTGAGAATATTTTTTTTAATTTATAGTTTTAAAATTTAAAAGAACTGAAAACAATGGGAAATTACGTTGATATTGTTCACTACGTTTTCTTGTCGGCCCTTGCAATCGAGGCAGTCTTCATTCTGTTTACACAGTCCACCCGAACGAATTGGATTGTCATTTTGCTGTTGACGGGTATGCTGTATGCGATCGTTGGGTGGTGTTTCAACCAATACCAACTTAACAAACTCAAAAAGAAAACAGAGACCAAAGAAAAGACAGAACCATCCACACAAATCAAAAGAGATTAACAAAAAACATTTTATTGTTTTTGTTTTTATTTTTGGTATTTAATTGTTATTACTTGTATAGTTTTGTATAATTTGTTTAGCGAATAATAGTAAATTTGATAAATGGTACAGAACAATCTTATAATTAGATCTAACAAATAAAAAAAATATATTTTTTAATGGTTTCTTTTACATAAAAAAATATATTATAATAAGTAGAAAATGTTATATAACAAGTAAATGCACCTTTTTTGCAAAACGAGCTATTTTTAAAACCAAGGCAAGTACTTTCAAAATCAATTGGCAGATTTACCATTTTGTTTATAATTCCAAAATATATGATGAAAAAGATGTGAATTGGTGCACAGAAACGTAAAAAGTAAAAAACTTTTTTGATCTTTTTGGGCAAAACAGTTTTTCGGGATTTGTAAATAGCAAATTTTAATAGTATTAATTACTTAAAAATCTAAGATTAATAATTGTTAAACACAATGTATAATACTATGAAAGTTATTTAAAAATAAAAAATTTGGTAGAGCGTAATACTAAAAAACCGAACTTCAAAAGAATTATCAAAAACAGACAGCCAATATTTGTTAGCAAAAACGGGATAATCTTATGTGGAGTTTTTGTTGATTTCAATAATTCGTCTTTTTTTGTTTTTCCTTTGGGAGATTTCCCGAAATGACACGAAAATACATTTCGTAATAATTGAAAAATGAGATCTGAATTTTGTAACAGAAACTCCAAATTAAAAAAAGGCATATTATAAACGACAAAATGGCCTTTTTACCACCAAAGTTCAATGTTAACTTATTTAGATCTATTTTTCATTACAAGAACGGGAAGTCAAGCTTTATTCATTTGACGATATACCAAATAATGATTATAATCTTTGAATGATCTTTTAAATCAAGTTTTGGGAAATACCTGCGGATTATTTCAGGAAAAAGTGGAAAGTTTTTTGGCACCCAAAAATGAACTGGCCAAAAAAGCTTTTTTTAAAATAACAAGAAACACGACTCTTTTCATTTTTTTTAGCTCATAGTCGATCTCCCGATTTGGTTTGATTGATACCCCGATAATGCCCACGCCCATTTTCTAACACCAGTGATATTTTAATTATTGGGGCATATACGGTGTTGTGGTAACAAAAAAACTTTTTCCATAATCAAAACATCATTGTTAAATAACAATTACAAATGCAAATTTAACTTTTTAATCCCAAATTTGAAATCAAATTATTAAGTAACCGTTGGTTTACCATTTTTTTCGTGACTGAGTTCGTGATCAGGGGAAAGTGCCTCGTTGAAATATATTTGTTTCAATTGGTCAAAAACACACTTAAACGGTCTAAGTCATCTGCATACGAAAAGTCAGTAAAAAAGTTTTTATTTTAATTTTTGTCAAGAAGAAGTCTTTACCGTTTTTCTTCTAACGGATAGTTACCGATAAGAATAACGAAATTATAACCAAAATGTCGTACAACAAATAACTTTTGTTTTACATCATAAAACCTGTGCATGCCGATAATAAGTTCCACGTCTCGCCACTTCCCGCCCAAAATAGCAAAAATGCTGTGTGTTCGATTCAAAAAGCTTTGAAGACGGAACCCCCTAAATAGAAAATAATTATCAGTAATATCTTTAAACCATAAAAATAGCAAATGTTTTACACTGAAAAATGTCGGTGAGGTGGGGTTTGAACAAATGAAAGAGCACGAGCCCAAAAATCGCGAAATAGAACAGGACTATAAAAAGTAGCGAACTGATTACTGAATCGGTTTACAATGTCAATGGAAGTCGAGGAATCGGATAATACACACACAGTTTACGGGCAATGGGCGCCCGAGGAAGATGCCGCCTTATTGAAAGCTGTTCAAGAAATCGGGTTAAAAAATTGGAAGAAAGTCGAGCTGTTTGTACCAAAGCGAAATCGAAAGCAGTGCCGAGAACGGTATTTCAACTCACTGATGTTTAAGAGTCAGAAAAGACCGTGGCTTTCTTACGAAGACACTATAATCATTCAAACACACAACGAAGTCGGAAATAAATGGACCTTCATTAGCAAGAAGCTTGTTGGAAGAAGTGCAAATGATGTGAAAAATAGATACTTCGGAAGTCTTAAAAAGAATTTATCAAAAGGCTCTTATAAGGAAAATAGCACTTCCGACAACGAAAAACAGAGTTCTTTTACTGTGTTTCGACCCGTTGACAGTTCACTCTATACTGTATTGTAATATGTTTATTGTTTAGTTTTTATTTTTATACTTTATACCATTATATAATATATTATATATTATACTATGTGGTATTAGTATATTACTATATATATTATAATTTTAATGTAATTTTATTATAGTAATTATTATTTGTATTAATTATAAATATAATTTTAGTATCACATATTAATACTATTTTTATTTTTATTTAATTTACTATTTAATTAATATAGAATTATTATAGAATTATAAAACACTAGTACATAAACAATAGTACAATTATAAGAAGTATTACTATTGGTAATATTTCTGAAGAGCTCCTTAAATTATTGAGAGTCTCTATTTGACATTTTCCTTCTGAAGTACACACAAAACCATCTCGACATGTTCCACAAGAAGGCTGACACCCATCTTTCCACAGTTTGTTATCAATGCCCAAATTATCACCAGAAATGGTACACTCGGTGTTTGCACAGTCAAATGAGTTGACATCGCAGTCGATGCTCTTCTCGAGTTTTTTAGACCGAATAAATTGCGCTCTTTTTAAGACAAGAGTAGTTGGTTTTGTCATGTTGCATTGAATTCCAATCGAATTTGAATATTCGTAACTCGACAAGTTAAAAGGGAGTCTCAAATATGTCATATTACCGTTCTTGTACACCCAATAGTTGGTCATATCAATGATCGAACTACCAGTCATCCTATTGTTTTTATCTCTATTGGTCAACAGTAAAACGACTCGATTGATAGTGAAATTTTCGTCAGACTCGATGTCTACTTGTAACTCATAGAAGTCTTGTGAAAACATCATAGCTGTTTTGTAGACCATGAATATAGCTGCAGCAGGTGTAGCAGTGTCGAATCTGACAGTCACGTTTTGATATCCAATATACTGGAAAGCGCCCAGCCCTATTCTCTTCCAAAATGTCCACATGAAGATTTCTGTTTTAGTCAGAGTGTTTTCAGTGAATGCCTCAGTGTTAGCTAGAAAGTAGCAAGTTGTCTTCTTTTTATTCTCAAATCGAGCAGATGCTATTCCACGACTTACATTCGACAAATTAACACTATTGAAATTGACTTTTTCATTAAGAACTGAGCCAAGTTTGATATCGACATTTTGAGTGTCATATTCGACAACAAAAGTGTCGTCCAATCCCTTTCGTATCTGTTTAGAGTTGACTTCAATCATCTCCACGGCTCTATTAAAGTCTGCAAATTGTAAGGTGACGTGTGTTGTATTTCGATAAATGACCCAAAAGGATGGATTGATTCCCAAATCAAAATCGGTCTCAGAGACTGTAGCTTGGACGTAATCATCATTTTGAAAGGAAAGACCTCCTGTCAATTGTAGAAATAAGTTCTTGTTGATACCTATGATCGTCCCATTGTTTCTTAGCCCATATCTATCTACTGCTATAGTGTCCGTGTTTACAGTCATAGTCCCTGCTACTACACATTGAATGACTTTCTGAGTCGGTCCAACTATCGCCATTAAAGTGCCACACCGTGAGATAAGATGCCCATTCTTTCGAATAAACAAACGTGATTCATCAATGTAACAAACAGATTGAATGTTAAATCCTTTGACATTGTGCGTGTAATTTGGGATGTTTGAATAACACTCAGTCTTGGGAATATCTAATGTCTCTGAGTTGTAATTGAATGCAAGAAAGTCGGTCATACAGACTGGAGACTCACTCATTTCAATATCATTAGAAAGGGCTGTAGTTAAGAAAATAAGAAAGTAAAGTAAGACCATTTGTACGTCCTAAGAATTAAAAGTTGAATTGTTGTTCTTTTTTATATGAATTTTCGTGAATTCTACAACAACAAAAGGTATAAAAAAGTCTTTTAAAAATAAGTTAAAATGTCGTCTCATTTTGGAACTATTCAATTTCGTACAAAGTCCCAAGAAATAGCAAATCCCAAATCACTTGTTTGTTCTTTATATTAAAAATGAAATTTGTATTAAAACAGGATATTTATTGCTGAGCTTAAGAGTTATATACAAGTTTTTAGACACTCTGACTTAATACACTTGTTTTTATAAACAAATCAAATCAAATTACTATCTAGCGGTATTCTATCCATTTGGTATTGAATTTGAAAAGGGGAATATTCAAAGCTTTTTAAAGTATCAAAAAGTTATGAACAAAAAAAAGTGGAAAGTTCAACAAATGAACAAATTTTTTAAAAAGAAGTTTGACATTTGAATTTTTTCTGGATTGAATGAAAAAATTCCAAAAATGTTTTTCTTATGGTAAGTTATAAATACAAACTGCATTGCTGTTCTTTTGGTTATTAAATTTTGAATTACAACAGATTCTGTTTGTTATCGGTGTTCAAATAGTGAGTCGGTCAACAAATGTTATTATCTTAACAAAAATCGGAAAACATTTTCTTTTTAAATCGGGGATGAGGACAATATTATTGAGTGAACTAATTAAATAATTATAATAAGTTTATTAAATTAAATCATAACCAAATCTAATTTTGTGTATTTCCTGTTTATTTCGGATTCACTTTTTTATCCACCATTATAACCATAACAATTAATTTGCCGAATCATTTTTTTGAAATAAATGATAACTTAGTTACATCAAAAGAAACTCAATTAAACCAATTTAAAACTACATCCAGTCATGGGAAAATATTAAAAGTGGTGAAATTTGTGCATAAACAGACTGTTTAAGTCTATAACCCCGATCGTTATTTTCAGTTGTTTTAATAACTCTTTTTTTACTGACCTGATGTGAATGTTCGGCATTTTTAAACTTTATGAACCATCTCCATTATTTTCTTTATTTAATGTTTGCGTTGTTTTCGATTGAAATACTATTTAAAATAGTAAAATTATTATATTTTTATACGTAATGGGCGAAACCATTTTTTGTTAAAAGTGAATAATAAAGTGTTTCATTTTAAAAAAGTGAAGTAATTATTTTAATTTTATTATACTATATTTATACTATATTTATACTATATTTATAGTATATTTATAATACATTTATAATAAATCAAACACGAGGAATAAAACATCCCAACATCAATTATTTGTATCAGTCGTTGTGACAAAAGAGATTTCCTTAATTCTCTTTGTCATTTCATTTGCCGAAGGTCTTTCAGCTCTATCTGTGTCCCACATAGTTGCGACGAGTTCCGCAAATTTCTGTGGCAATTTATCAGTGAGTTCTGTACGAGTGAAAAGTCTATTCTGTGTTGTCTGCATTTGATACAATTCATATGGCGACACCTTAAAGACTTCAGTTGTTTGTTCTCCGAAGTAGAGTAAAAGTAATATATGTGCCAACGAGAACATATCTGTGGGGTAGTCTGCGTTAGTGTTAGCGTTGAACACCAGAGGGTCCATGAAGTAGTTAAACTTCTCCTTGGCGTCTTTCTTGATCTGTTGTACTGCGTCTGCCTTGACGACTTGTGAGCATCCGCACAATTTAACATGAGGGCCTTCTTTCAATTTAACGGACGACACCAACACGCTGAGTGGTGTTAATTGCCGATATACAAAGTGGAAGGAATGTAACAGTGAAATTGCTGCAACCAACTCGACGGCCATCTTCTTCTTCAATTTTGGTGAAATGACTTGTTGGTCCAAAAAGTGGTCTAAAGTCCCCAAAGGATAATACTCAACCACAATACATGAGATCTTGTGCGACAAGACCTTTCCGTAATATTTTGCAGCCAACTGTTGTTCATTCAGAATTTGCAAGAATTTGATCTCCGTCCGCATCGCAATATCTGGGTTCTGCGCCTTCGAAAACGTTTTCACAAAGATCGGCTTCTGTTTCCAGACAAGGGAGTAACACTGTCCAACAGTGATATCCGACGCAGTCAAATTGTCCAAGTCGAATTCATCGCCATCGATGTACTCGCTGTCTTGCGCGTCTGCTCGAATATCTATATTGGACGTATACGTCTTTTCTTGGTGTTGGATATTTACCACCAACTGCGCGTTGACTCTGCACGAGCACTTCAACTTGATCTGTGCGATGATATTGACTTGCGTGCCCGGCGCAATAGTCCCATCGACCGGGTCGACCAAAATCTCAAACTTTGGCGTCTTAATTTCCTTCACCGAGAAGTTCCATGGCGAGTTCCTCATATTCACTATATTGAACGTGTCGGTGTACGGCGTTCGCACTTTTAACTTCTCAAACGACCCGCCAAACAGTAACGTCGTTTTCGACAACTCCAGTGGGAAGCTTGGCGTCGACGAGAAAAACGCTCTCTCTGGTATTTTCGTGTAAATATCTCCACGTTGTCTGAATATCGCTCTTCTTCTTCTTTTCGTCGAACGATCGGTGTTGTCCGATGATGTGTCTGACGACGTGTTTGTGTCACTGTCTGATATCGAAGACGTGGATGACTGCGTTGATTTTGTGATCATATCGAGTGAAGGGGGAGTGTTCGTCGACTTTGTGTTCTTCGAGGTCTTCGAGCGCTTTTTCTCCGAAGAGGAGGAGTCTGTAGTGCCAGAGGTGAGGGAGGTGTTTGAAGTAGCGTCTTCATTTAAGAGTCGATACTTCTTTGCATATGTTAAATACGCCGCATAACATAAAACCGCTAAAACACAGATCAAGAAGAGGATACCCGTAATGATGTTCATCGTTAATTCAGAGGTAGAAGTGTCTTTGGAACATTTCCCATCTTGATACGAATACCCATTCTCAGTGTCACACTGACATCCATCATTACACCCTTCCCCTCCATCACACTGCTCACCAGCATCTATCACAAAATTACCACAAAGTGCAGTACAATATGGGTAATTGATATACCCAGCACTGCACGTGCTACAGTCGTCGTCTTGGTTAAACCCACCAAAACACACAGACATGCAACTCCCGTCAGGGCGGCACGTCGGACACCCAACACCACATACATCAATGTGGTCTTTCCCAGCGTAGGCTGTTATAAAGAATGTTGCGTAAAGTAAGAAAAATAAGTAAGTGCCTTTGTTTGTCATCTTTTGTGGTCTTTTGCAGTTTCAAGTTGGTCTTTGACTTTTTGAGCAATTTGGTCAAGTTTTTTGGGTAGTTTATTTTTACTTGTAAGTATTTAAATGAAAATTTTTATTATTTCTCAATTAGACAGATTCTTTGGTTTCAAAAGAACGCTTTTTACTTCTTTTTGGCAGTTTTTCTTATAATATTTTTTAAATAAATTATTTATTGTAAATATTAAAAAGAGTGATTCTATCATTTTTAATTAAATTATTAATAATTATAATTAATTGGACTGATTACTATTACTATATTATATTAATACTATTTATATTTTTAAATTATATAAATATATAATTAAAAATATATAATTAATATGTTAATTAAAACTTTTAATTAATTTAAGCAAATGATCAATGCGGAATTTGTTGTTTTATTATGTGATGTTTAAATATTAATTGTATATTTTAATATATTTCAATTCAAATTAATTTATAAAACTTGATAAAAGAGAAGGATGGTGAAATTAGAACCATTTTACTTGATGAAAGTAGCACTTAATTTTGGTACATACGATGTGTTATACCAATTTATTTGTGTTTCTAAAGCATGTTTAGAGTCTATCA